ATTGCACACTGAATACATCCAGTATACCACATGGCTTGCATAAAGCAAATCAAAATGCCAATGTGAAGATATTGGCAGGAACTAGAGGTGACATAAAATCAACATGCTAATGTGAAGATATTGGCAGGAACCAGAGGGGACATAAGATGATTTTAACTACTCATTAAAAAAAACCACTGGTGGATTGCAGAGATTCCCAACATAAGCTTGAAAAAAGCATAACTAATTAAGCTCCCCAAAATGCTTTCTAAGTGGTCTACAAAAGCAAAAACTCCAGCTGAAGTTGCTTCAGAGCATTAAACTACAATCATATGAGAGAACTTACAATTTATTCCACCTTTATGAAGCTAAGATTTACACTACCCACGAAAAATCTATAAATCATGAAATCTACAAACATTAGTTTGGGTCATGAGAGGGAGCTTGGTAACAAATCTTCTCACAGCAACACTACGGATAAATCATACACACTAAGGACTTGGTAAAAAATTTCTCACAGTTTAATACTTGGACATATCGTCCAGATTACAATAACAGTCAAACTCATCATAATGTTACATTTCCAATTGACCTAAAATAAATTAACCACCAAACAAGCACTGTTTTCCAAAACTACATCTTCAAAATACAATGCACTATAGAATACAATTATCATCAAACTAATAATGCATAAAAAACAATCTTTAACAGCTTCATCAATATAACACGGTGTTTTACAGTAGATATTGGCATTTAATATTTGAATGTGGCATTTGGCCTGTAAATAGTGCAGGGTTTGTTTTCAAATTTCGTGGGAAAAATAAGAATTTTTTGGTTCCATCGTGTTTCACTATTAGGGATCGAACAATCAAAATTGACATTAAATAACTCCCACTTGGTTTGGAAGAACAATAGACTAAAAACAGAAAATAAACCTGCAATTCCAGCTTTATACATGCAGGATTAAATGCTATCAGTTATGGGTATTAAACAAGGTCTTCAACGTCCATTCATTAAAATCTATAATTCTTATCTCATATATCAATTAAAAATAATAAGATTAACCACCAAGTTAGTATAATAATCTAAGGCTTAAGGAATTCCATTATCCATATTTTGTTTGCTTTTTCTATCGGGAAAATTTTTAAATAATTAACCAATCGACTAAAACTAACCGATATAGTATGAATTCACAATGATAAACAAGAGAGAATATATGTTTCAGTGTAAAAGATATGACATTATCATTTTTCCATTCATATGACTAACGAATTATTGATGAAAAGGAGAATCCAAGTATTATGTGGATTAAAACCTTGAGGCTATGTTTGGTTTTGGAAGATTTGATAAGAAAAATGGAAAGGGTAAAGGAAATGCAATCCTCTTTTTGTTTGGTTATAATGGCAAACACAGGAGAAAAGAAAGTGAGAGAAATGAATTAAGAAATGCAGGGATCTTCTAGAACTTCATTTCCTTTATGTATGTGAGAAAAGAAACGGGAAAAGTGAGCGGAAAAATATATGGGCCTCAAAATAGAAAGGATTGCTAACTTGGCTCAAAACAAAGATGATTGCTCCAACAAATTCAGCAAAAAAATAAATAAAAAATTGCTGTCATAATTTCATTTCTTTCTCCAATTCCGAACACAACCAAACATAGCTTATAATTCGAATCCTATCAATTCTTTCTCCTTTTCTTTATATTTCCCTTTCCTTTTCCAATTCCCTCCTCAAATCGTCCCACCAAACACACACACACACTAACGCTCGGTTTGGTTAGGGGATTTAGAAAGGGATTAAAAAGAGAAAAGGAAAGGTGTGTGTGAAACTAAATGAGATGTAGGATATTTTATTCACATTTCACTTATCTTTTCCTTTTCTCTTTCCAAATCACTTCTCCAATCCCCAACCAAACACGGCATACTCAATGTAATTATGTTAAAATTGTAGACCTTGCAATATTTTCTTCAAATCTCGACAGAGATCAGTGTAATTTACCGTTAATTTAATGTGTATTACTCATAGAATCTAAAATAACATGGATTAAAAGTGTATTCCACCGTAAAAACTCAAAACAGCAAAAGAAAATATTCGAATTTCTAATCCAAATGATTAGGCTAAATCAAGGTAACTAAAAAGCTGTGTAATTAGCAGGCTTCAATATAATGTTCGATAATAATAATGCTAACAATCATCAAAATTACGAATGTTCAATCACTTAAATCAACATTTTCTAAAAAGAGTTGAAACCTCCCCTATGTAGATTTAAAGTTCAAAATTCTTTCTGTTTCTCCACGTTTTCTCGGCAGCCAAACAGAACATACGAAGAGAAAACGAGCAGAGAGAGAGAGAGAGAGATGGGGCTTACCATCGCTACAGTAGGTTACAGACTCGGCTGCGAAGACTAGGGTTTGCTAAGAGGTACAAAACCTTCTCTACCCCAAAACACGGGTTTTATAACGATGGTTAGGGTTTTGTTGGGTCGTGAATTTGTGATCTTGAAACAACCCCAATGGGCTTCAAAGTTGGGCCAACAAACAACAAAAAGTGCCCAAGATCTCTTGGCTGTGTTTTCTAAATCTTTTTTTAAAAAATAAAAAATAATTTGATGAAAATAAATATAAAATTTATATTTTAATTCTTAAAAATTATTTTTACCCTTTCAAAAGATTAAAATTAAAATATAAGGAAATTATGAGTGTTTTTATTTTGTCATTTTTTTACTAAATTAAGTTTTAATTTTTTAGAGGGAAAAAAAATTTGAAAAACAAACCAAATAGAGCGCTTATTTTCCTAAGAATAATTACTAGCAGGTCCTAATAGACGAGATATATTTACTCATGAAATTTGAGTATATATATATATGTGTGTGCGTGTGTCTCTCGTTTTGAAATTGAAATTTAAAAAAAAAATTTAAGTGCGTGTTTTGTATTTGTGAAAAGATCATTTGGGACTAGTAATAATTTTAACAATTTACCAAAGTGATTAATGATTAAAATGTTTTAGCTTTTATTTGTAGTTTTGATTTATTTTTATTTAATTTGTGTTAGGTTTTATTGAAATATAATGTAAGAAGTGTAAATAATTAAATTGTATTTTTTAATATATTTTGATGGTGATAAATTTATCATTATGAATTAGAGTAAGCCTTATTAGTAATAAGTTTGATCCACATGACTAGCCTATAATGCTTCATTTTTTCTTGGGCTCTTTTTTGATAAATCCTATTTGTAACTGTTTTATTTCATAAAACCCAAACTATTTTTGAATATTCCATTAGGTCCATTAATTGTAAAAGGACGAAATAAACCTCCTCCGCCTCTCTTGCGTGTAATCGATTCTGCAAAACCCATTCCCATTCCAACTATTCAATCCACAAACCTAGATTCACATCGCCTCACCATCGTCATCGTTGTCCACCGTCCATCGTCGACCCCAGATTCCTGTTCATCTCACCGTTGCGAAGGTTCACATTGAAAGGAGGGTGCTTCGTCGTTCGAAAATTCCTGTCGTTGGATTGAGTTTATTTCATCCACTGAGTGTGGTCCATACCCACCCACCATGAGGAACAAAAGTAAGCAATACCATTCCACCTTCTGCTTTTCAATCATAATGTGATCACCGATGTATACATTTACATTGCCCCTATAACTGTTGTTGTTTTCGGAATTGAATTTGTAAACATAGATGTTTTCGGAATTGAATTTGTAAACATAGATGATGTGAACATTCACAATACTGTTCATTACTGGATAAACTTACATTAGTAGACATTGATGTGAACATTCGCATCAGTGTATAATGATGTGAATGTTTACATTACTGTCACTGTTGATATTGTTGGTTGTTGATGTCCATAGAACCCCCAATTTTCACTCAACAATGTGATGGAATATGATGTAAATATTCACATTGTGACATCAATGTCAGACTTGTTTATGTCGTTGATTGTTGTTTGGCGCTGTTGGTTCCACCCTTTGATTTTTAGCCAATTATAACATAATGTGATCACCCATGTAAACATTTACATTGCCCTATAACTGTTGTTGTTTTCGGAATTGATTTTGCAAATATAGATGATGTGAACATTCACATTACAATACTAGATAAACTTACATTAGTAAACACTGATGTGAACATTTACATCAGTGTATAATGATGTGAATGTTCACATTACTGTCACTGTTGATTGTTGATTGTTGATTGTTGATTGTTGATTGTTGATTGTTGATTGTTGATATCCATAGAACCCCCAATCTTTACTCAACAATGTGATGGAATATGTTGTGAATATTCACATTGTGACATCAATGTCAGACTTGTTTGTATTGTTGGGTGTTGTTTTGTGCTGTTGGTTCCACCCTTTGATTTTTAGCCAATTATAACATAATGTGATCACCCTTGTAAACATTTACATTGCCCTATAACTGTTATTGTTTTCAGAATTGATTTCGCAAGGGATTTTTATTGATAAATCCATCTTAGAGTTCTTATAACCCATTAAGTCCACAAAGGAATATTATAACCAGATTAGTCCCATATACTTTTCTTTTTATTCCATAAAGTCCATTTTTCTAATTTTATATTTTTACCTGGACTATTATACCATTTTATATATATATATATATATATATAAATACTGTGTTAATACATAACACATTCCCTGTGCTTTCGTGGATTCAGTTTTGGCAATTTCTATGTTTACGCTTTTCATCATCATTCTAATTCAAATGGATACGTTTCTATCTTGCATACTCGTTTTGAGGCTTTGATGTGCTAGGGTTTCATTGTTGCTGTTGTAGTATGGTTTGGTGATTTTCAAGTGAAGACGACGAATTTGAAGGTCTTCGGTTCTCACATTTTCTGGAATATAACTACTTCAAAGCAGTTGTTTTCGAGTTTCTGAACGATTGTAGGATTGCATGATTAAGGTTAGTATCATTTTGGTTATGAATACATGTTCACTTTATGTTTTGATTTGTATGATAGATCAGATGCTCTGTTTTTTGATTGATATGGATCAGATGCTCTGTTTTTTCAATTATATATATCATACGTGGTCTTGTGGAGGGGAGGTCATTCAGATTATGTGACGAATGTGTAGTTCTCATTTTACTTTGATGTATCCATAATGAGGCTCTATGTGGGTGATATAATTCAGAGTATATGTATCAATATGAATGTTTACATCTTGTTAATATTATGTGGAGAATGTGGATGTTCTCATTTTACTTTGATGTTTGCTTAATGAGGCTCTGTGTGAGTGATATAATTCAGAGTATATGGATCAATGTGAATGTTTACATCGTGGTCCTGTGGAGGAGAGATCATCAGATTAGTGATGAATGTGGATCTTCTACAATTCAGAGTATATGGAACAATGTGAATGTTTACATCGTGTTAATATTATGTGAAGAATGTGGATGTTTGCATTTTACTTTGATATTTTCTTAATGAGGCTCTGTGTGAGTGATATAATTCAGAGTATATGTGACAATGCAAATGTTTACATCGTGTTAATATTATGTGAAGAATGTGGATGTTCTTACTTTATTTTGATGTTTGCTAAATGAGGCTTTGTGTAGGTGATATAATTCAGAGTATATGTATCAATGTGAATATTCACATCTTGTTAATGTGAATTATGGATTTAACACTTGAACTGTACACGTAGTCATCTAATTTTTGCACAATGTGAATTTTCATATCGATTTGGATTACTATTGATTGTTGTATTGGTGTGTTTTTACAAGATATGGATACCTTTATGATGTTGGTGTGTACATATGGTTGCAGTACAACTGTAATAAATGTTGCTCGCGCATTGTGTTATTCGCGTTTGGTGGACTGTTTGTGTGAAACATGGGAGGAGTTATCTGCTGGTTCTATTTCATTATTCTATCGGTTACCTGGGATGAATAGGTGTGATTTGGACAATGAGGAAGAATTTCATAACATGTTACTACTTGCTAAATCAATGGGGGTATAACATGTAGAAGTTGTTGTTGAGTTGAAAAGTGATATTGATCAGTCAAGTAGCTCGGGATTGCTGCGTGTGGGGGTTGAGGAAGAAATTGATGCACTACGGAGATTTTGCCACCATAAGGAGAAGGTGTTGTTGTCAGCCCCTTGGGCAAATGGTATTACGCATGTGGGACAACGGTTTGTTAGAGGTGCACAAGAATTTCGTGATGTTTTATGTAAGTATGCCATCCAATGTGGGTTTCAGTTTACGTACGTCAAGAACGAGACAACAAGAGTTACTGCTGTGTGTGCGATGCGTGAGGAGAGAGGCTGCTTGTGGGCTATACATTGTAGAGCACAACGAGCAAATGATTTTTTCTACATCAAGAGGTTTAGTGATGTGCATAGTTGTAGTACGGATGTTCGAACATCGAAGAATCCGCGAGTTAGTTCGGATTTGGTGTCGAGTACCATATCTGAAATTGTGAGGGACAAGCCATTGACTCGACCGTGTGAGGTGGTGACTATTTTGAAGAGGGATTATGGGCTAGATGTGAGTTACCATGTTGTATGGTTGGGTGTGGAGAAAGCAAAGGCTGGTATTCATGAAGATCACTCATTATCGTTTGACCAGCTGCGGTGGTATTCGGATGCTGTGATGCGATACAATCCAGGGAGTTTTGTCAATATTGACTATGATACAAGTAGTCAACAGTTTTGTCGTTTCTTTGTGTCATTCGCTGCGTGTATTTTTGGGTTCAATTATTGTCAGCCTTTATTATTCCTGGATGGAATATTCCTCAACGGAAAGTACAAAGGTCAGCTACTTGCAGCAACGGCGAAAGACGGAAACAATGGTTAGTATCTGTTTTAGCTGTCTATTCATGTCAATATTCACATTGAGCAACATAGTCTGGACAAATGCATGATTGAGAAATTATAAGTAATGTGAACATTGACATTAGTATGCACTGATGTGAATGTTCACATCTGTGTCTGCTAATGACAGTAATGTGAACATTCACATTATTATACACTGATGTGAATGTTCACATCAGTGTATATCAGTGTATGTTCACATCAGTGTATACTAATGTCAGTTAATCCATTAATGAACAGTACTGTGAATGTTCACATTATCAATGACTCAACAATCAACAATGAATTATTAATGGTCGTTAATGTGAACGTTCACATCATTGATGTTTATGAACCCGAATCCAAAAATAACAATAGTAATAGGGCAATGTAGATATAAACATTCGCATGACTTGTTTCGTTTATATTGTTTTCTATTCACTTTGGAATATTATGAACAGTTGTGTATTGGTGTTGTGTTGTAGGTCTGTTTCCTGTTGTATTTGCGATTATTGATTCAGAGACCCCGACCAATTGGTCGTGGTTCTTGCATGAACTTGGGAAGGTTGTTGATGGTAAGTGCCAGATTACTTTTATTTCGGATCGTAATCTTGGTCTGTTAGAAGCTATGCCAAAGGTGTTCCCATCGGCTCATCACGGTTATTGCTTACAATACTTGAAGAGCAATTTAAGAGACCGG